GGCCATTTCTGCTGATTTTGGCCGTGTCTTCGAGATCGGCCCAGTCTTTAGGGCCGAAGACAGTAATACTCACAGACATCTTACCGAGTATACCGGTTTAGATATAGAAATGGCGATTCACAAAGACTACCATGAAGCTCTAGACATTATTGATGACTTACTGAAGTCCATTTTCAAGGGCATTTACTCTCGATATCGAAAGGAGTTGGATAACGTCAAGACTAGATTCCCTCATGAGGACCTGGTTTGGTTGGAAAAGACGCCTCGCCTTACCTTCAAGGAGGGAGTTCAGCTATTAAACTCGTCCGGATGGACAGATGAAGACGGCAAGCCAGCTTCCGAGAACGAAGATCTTGGAACGCGAGAGGAAATTCGACTGGGCCAATTAGTCAAGGAGAAGTACGGCACTGATTACTTCATCCTCGACAAGTTCCCAGCGTCGGCGCGACCGTTTTACACACATTTAGATCCGAATGATGATACAATCACTAATTCCTTTGACATCTTCCTTCGTGGACAGGAAATCACCACAGGAGGTCAGAGAATCCATAACCCGCGACTCCTAGCCGAGAGAATGAAGAAGGCAGGTGTAGACCCAGACGGAATGGAAGAGTACATGCAAGCCTTTGAGTGGGGTGCGCCCCCACATGCAGGATGCGGTATTGGCCTTGAACGTGTGCTGTTCCTGTTACTGAACCTGGGAGATGTCCGGAATGCCACCTTGTTCCCGAGAGATCCGAAATCTCTACCTGTCAAGAAACCCGATCAATCCGGCAAGGTCCCATTCCCCGAAGCTGACACAATCCGCTACGAATTCGATGGGGAGCATGAACACGTCCACCTGCCTGACCTTGATAAACTCATCGTGAACTACGGTGACGCCACGAATACCGCATGGCTTGACGACCGGTATAAAGTCTGGCGGGATATTGAGACCGGGGCCGCTGTGGGATATGCCGAAGAGAATGGATATGCCCTGATTATGGGCAATCCACTTTGTGATCCACGTCAGTATCCCATGGTAATCAGTTCCTTCCTTAAATACCTGAAAAAGAGCGAGGATCTACGACCCATCTGGATCCTGGTCTCTTCGCAGGTCGAAGAGATCCTTGGTTCCAAACTCGGATGGCGCACATTGACGTGTGTGGCCGAGGAACGCGTAGACATAGGTAATGCGAATAGAGTGGTCAAGAAGGAGCGCCAGGCCCAAAAAGCCGAAGTTAAGATCCACGAGACGGCTCTCGGCCAGCCAGTTCCCGACGATGTCAGAGAAAGGTGCGACAAGCGCATCCAGGACTGGAAGGAGAGCCGCAAAGGCCGCAAGCAGGTTCACATCACTGAAGTCCGACCCTGGGTTTCCATGGCGCATCGTCGCTATCTATGGGCTGAAGATAAGAACGGCGAGATTGTCGGTCTTGTTATCCTACACCGTCTCTCGCCCCAAAACGGCTACCAGATTAAGTTCGCACTTGATTTCCCCGGCTCGCCGTCCGGTAGCATCGAAGCCCTCATCTCTCGTGCTATCCAAAGCCTAACATCCTCTGGGGTGAGCAGCGTGACATTCGGCGCGGGTGCCATGGACGAACTGCTTATCGGCAGCAACCTAAACGGCATCAAGGCCAAGCTGCTCAGTCGCACGTATAAGACGGTTGCGCAGCAGCTGAAGCTAATTGCTAAGAGTGAGTTCAGAGAGAAGTTCGGCGTCAAGCATGACCCGGTTTACATCTGTTACCCCTTTATGGGTCTTGGCGTCTCGGGTGCGAGAACGCTGATTAAGTTCTTCGAAGACGAGATGTAAAAAATGGTATAAAAGGGAATTTGCGAGAACATGTTATTCCTTTTCCTTCTGTTCGGGCGGTACGGTATGGTAACGGTATGGCATAGCGCAGCGAGAGCCGTCTTCAATTCGATATACCAGGATAGATGATCTGGACGCGTTTAATGAGGGTTTACTTAAGTAATGATAGATACCCATTGATGGTAATCCATCCCGAAAGAGTTGGTAATAGAGACAAGGAGGTATAATAGAGACGACTGGTTTACTATTCCATTAAATGGATTGCGTGTCGTTTTTGAATGTCACGATGCTCACGTGCGTAGTGTAGATGACGTTTTAGAAGGAGGTCATCGGCCCTGACTACGGTCTTGGGTACGCAAGACGGGACCCACCACACGTCAAAGTCGTCTGATGGAGGCGACTCGTGCAGCTCGTGATACCTGGAGCCCCACTGATGTACAGGAACGATGAGGAGGCTCTGCGGCTGCTATGGGCTAGACTCTGCACCAAGGTCACACGACTACGTGTAGTGGCTCTGTTTGAGATCTAAGCCTGATAGGCGGTGGGCCTAATTGGGTCCAAGGTATCTAGACTCTGGAAGTAGAAGCTTTACAGCGTAGAATCGTATCTGAGATGTCATAAGGTATGCTTCCTCTTAAAACCATCGAGGCTCCAAACTATGGCAAGCCCCTGCCAGTCTTAGACTAAAAGCTGGAAATCCGTTCTTACATATCTTTTGGTTTGAAGAAACCTTTTCGTTACGAAAGGGTAAATATTATTAGTAGAGATGAATAGACTACAGTCTTGACTAGGAGAAAAAAAGTATACAGTGAATATTGCTGTGTCTCAGTGGGGCACTCTGAAGGAGGTCAGTCTCTGATGTACCCAGAAAAGTAAATTACATAGGTAGATACGAAGGTATAACCTGGGATGTCTTCAAAACATATGAAGTCGGTAAAATATCATGGACTCTTGGTAGGTTGACCTTTCCATCTCGTAATAGCTGCGTGTAGGTTTAGGCTACACGGGACGCCTGACTCCGTCGGATATATAGCCAACCCCGGTCTTTCTACCCAATCTTAACATCAGCACCCGTCCCAAGGTTCCATGACAGGATGTTAATCCCCGAGACCCCTTGAGAAGGACCGGGAAAATTATATGCGAAAGCTCGGTGTCGGGTTAAGTGTAACGACATATTTTCTCTATATTCTACTTCTATGTTGTCGGCCCCAGTCGTCTTCTCTCCTATGGCCGTCTCTTGGGTTACCAGAAGCTATGGGTCTTCTTAAGTTTCTCGCGGCAGCATCCCTGGCGACGCTTGTCCCAAGCGCTTCTGCCCTTCTTGCGTTCCCTGGAGCCGAAGGGTTTGGTCGAAACGCGGTAGGCGGGAGGACAGGGTCAGTTTATCATGTCACGAACCTAAAGTGAGTCTTATTGGACTCCTATAGCATCAATATCTTATGAAGGTTGAACAGCGACTCGGGAACAGGGTCGTTTCGCGACGCTGTGTCGAAAGCGAACCGTATTGTGGTTTTCGACATGGGTGGGACCATCAAAATCACCGACCGGATTGCTGTCTCCAAAAACATTTACATCGCCGGACAGACAGCTCCGGGAAATGTAAGCGCTCTTAATACATGTCTCCATCGTGTGGACTTTCCAAGTGTTAACCGGTTTGGTTCAAGGGCATCACGGTCTATGGCAACGGGATGTCATTCTCCAATGCCAACGACGCCATCGTGCGCTATATCCGATTCCGAATGGGCAAAGGCGGCGACTCAGGAAAAGGTGATGTTCGCTTCTGACAATGTTATGAATTCGACTCACATATTGATATGCATCAACAGATGCGATTACCATTGCCGAGGGCAGTACCATGATCTTCGATCATGTATCGGTCGCCTGGGGCCGGGATGAGACCTTCTCAATCAATGGCGCCGTTCATAACGTGACCGTGCAGAACACAATCATCGGTCAAGGCCTGGAAACCCACTCGTGTGGCGGGTTGATGCAGTCGGACTATGGCATTAGCCTCTTCAGGAACTTGTATATCGACAACAAGACGAGAAACCCCAAAGTCAAGGGCATGAATGATTTCCAGAACAATGTGAGCTTCACTTGGGGTGACATCCCATGCTCTATCAGGATGTTAGTTGTTAATTGCTATCAGGTCATTTACAATTGGGGAGGAGGCGGTGCTTACATCGCTGGCGACAGCGGAGGTCAAAGTTATGCCAACATCATCAACAACTATTTCATATCTGGGCCTAACACGAGCGTATCCGCATTCACGCGAGGTAACGCTAACTTCCATGGCTGTAAGTGCATCGCTCGTATGACACTTCTCTGAGCGAAGACTCATTTTCATCAGACGTAAGCGAGAATTACTATGACAGCAACAAGGATGGTATCCTCAACGGCTCTCCCCTTTGCGTCCAGACCAGTTGTTACAGTGATATGGACATCCAAAAGACGCGCTTCGACTATCCAGGTCCCGAGCGCCTAATGGCAGCCCCTGACGCCGTGACATCTGTTCTAAAGAACGTCGGCACAACCTTTCCCGCGCGCGACGACGTGGACAAGGGTCTCGTGGCAGAGGTCCAGAGTTGGGGAAAAAAGGGCGAACTAATTAGCGATGAAAATGCGAGTTCCCAGAGTGACTCGGGGAGTGGCGCGAGTGGAGCCGCGCTGACGGACTCGGATGGTGATGGTATTCCGGACGCATGGGAAGATGCACATGGGCTGAACTCTCACGATGCGAGCGATGCGATGAAGATCAGCAGTTCCGGATATGCGAACATTGAAGTCTATGTCAACTCCCTTGTCCCTTCGACTAATTAAGGACGACAGCTTGTCAAATACTCTTGATAAGTGTCGAAACGAGAGCTAGAATGGAAGCAAGCTGAATCAAGGAGCTTGCGTCAATTATTGCATTGGTATAGCTTGATGATCGACAAAGGCACAACGCTACACACGAGTAGACTCCGTAGATGTATACCAAAGCTCAAAAGTCGTAAGAGAGCTAAATGCAGCTTGGAATTAGATAAAACTTAACGAATTGAATATTTCAATCGAGGCGAAAAACGAATTAAACTTCCACTTCGTCAATTGAACATAGGCGGGGCTTCATCAGATTAGGTAAGCGCGAAAATGATAGGTACATAAGCCGCAGTAGTAAGAGATTTGACAACTTCCCCTCGCTCTAGAGCCCACTCTAGAGTTACCCTTGGTGGTGTAGTTGGTTATCGCGTTCGGCTGTAATTGTTGTATTTGCTACCGAAATGTCGCCGGTTCGATTCCGGCCCGAGGGATCATTTACTTTTTCGCATGTTCATCAATGTGTGATTGTATCTTTTTACTTCATTTCACTCCCTTGATGTCTTTAATTCTGTGCTAACCCTTCACATCAGTAAAATTTTCATGAGAAGTTACCAACGCTTACTTTTAGTTCCCATGGTAACCCGTCAGCTTATGTAACAAAGGTATTACGCTAAAACTTAATGTGCGCTTAATAAAAGAAAAGCTTTAAACTATCACATAAATATGGTAATTAATCATTAATTTAAGTATAAGTTAATTAAGTTTTATTATTTATTTTATCTTTCGTATAAACGATAAAATTATTTTATAATAACATTTTTTTTATAAAATATTACGTAATAATTAATATAATTAATAAGTTATATAATTAAATTTTTTTCCTTATCGTTATTTTATTTTTTATTTAACATGAATTAAAAAATAAAACGTGAATTACATTATAAATAAAATAATCCGTTATATTAAACTTGATAAGCTTTTTCGGTCGTTTTATTAACTTATAACACTTTTTATAATTAAAAATTTAATGAAATATATACGTAAATATTTCCTACGAATAAAAACATAAGTTACTTATTAATAATATAAAGTTTTAAAAAAAATATATGCTAATAAAATTATTACGGCTTATATAAATTAATTATTTAAAAAAAAACACATTAAAATTAATATTAACTTATTATTAAATAAAAGATAAAATAACAATAAGGAAAAAAGTTTAATCATATAACTTATTAATTACATTAACTATCACGTGATATCCCACAAAAAGAGTGTTATCATAAAATAATTTTATCGTTTATATAAAAGATAAAATAAACAACAAACTTAATCAACTCATACTTAAATCAATAATCAATTGCCATACTTGTATAATACCTACGCGGCTCGATAGTTAACCAGCTATCATCTTAAGGACTGTATCCCATAGTTTCAATCTAGCTATGAATACCCTCATTCCTATGAAATATCCATCATACTGGTTTGAAATACTCGTATCTGTTCAATACCGTCCCAAGCGTGACATAGGAAAGCCATGCTCCGTTATTGTCATATCTCCCTACTCTTTCTCTAGAGTCCAGTCCATTCCGCCAGAGCAATTACTGACGGTACCTAAGCCTGGCAAACCAACCAGACCACGATATCAAGGCCATTCGTCTCATAAACCATTGCTACCCCAGGCCTGCAGGGAGGCCTGGGCTAGCACCTGGTCATCCAAAACATTACTATTAGATATATGATATAACATCTTCGCCAACCACCTTAGGTCCTGCTCTGCGGCGTCGAGCTCATCGGGCCATGTTCGGTGCTCGGTTCCTGTGTCTTCTGGCCGTTCACTCGGTCATGATGCGCGGTAGGAGGGCTTCCCATGTTCTTGAAAGTCTCCTTGATTCGCTGCCGCACCGATCGCTTCTGCTTGGAGTCGCCCTGGCTTTTGTCCTTGTCGTACGAGTAAGTGGTAGACTCGGAGTAGGTCGAGGCAGAAGAAGGCTTGACATCGGCTTTGGGTTGCGATTGGGAGCCCAACGCATGGTTGATACGTGCTCGCTGCTTCTGCTCCATGTGGTGGACCCAGATGAGTTCTGGGTTTGTTATTGCTAGTGATGGAGCGAAGGAGGCGGCAGTGGTCTGGTAGCAAGTTCGGCACATGTCACGCCGATGGGAAGAGCTGTTTGGCTAAAGATGTTATGGTGGTAGTAGAGTTCTAGGCAAAATTATTTCGAAGATCTCGTGCTTGTAAGGAGTAATTAAGATGGTGTTGGTGGTTGAAGATAAGTTACAGCCTGACAGCAAAGGCAAGGCATCTACTTTATAGAAGCTGGTGTGACTAATAAGTAATTGCGTATACAGAGCATGCATGGGCTGATGACACAGCTTTCAACACTAAGATGACTTTCGTAAGGCTGTGGGAGTGAGCTATACCCGGCCGGGTAGCCAAGGAGTTGACTTATGCGGCTTGGCATGAAAAGATGGTGTCAACACGCCCATTCAGTATATGATGACTTGCAGGGTTGCGAACGTAGAACACGCAAGTGATTGTGAGCTGCGTCGCAATGCCGCAATTGATGACTGCATAAAGTAGCTGTATTATAACACCAAAGTCCTTCGAAAGTCCTATATTTGTCAACTTATGTCATCTGTCACGTTCGAGTTCTGCATCGATCAAGATCAAGTCACGTAGAAAGTTGCAAGTCTGCCCCCCTTACCACGCGTCTATTATGTTGCTAGCCTCCAGGCAGCCAGGTAGCGTGGTAGCGTGCTAGCATAGGACCAATTGGAAAGGCCTCGAGATCCTATTCATCATTAGCCTTGTCCAAAACGCCCTTCGAGACCGGATTTGATGCCTCACTGATCAAACATAGGCGCGTACGAAGCTAAATTGGTGCGTACCGCATCATCTGAGGCGTGGCCTTAGGCAAACGTATTTCGTAACATGTAAAATGAGGGGATGCTTTCCGAAGTCTTCAAAGTTGGGGGTTCCCCCGGTGACTCATGTCAGCTCCGGGCCCCGCTATCGGTGACATCCGAGCTGAAAGGGACTACCCCGGGGACAGCGCCTGTGAACCATTTATCACACTAGTCTAGCATGTTAAAGCGTTTCGTTTGCTTCAGAATTTCCATTTTCATTTTAGTCTCCTCGGCTTATCGAGCTGTTTTTGCTTCGAGTTTTCTTTGGTGGTGATGGTGAGATCTACTCCATGTCAATTTTCACCATACCTCTTGGCGTATTATTGACTCACGCCGTTGGAGAGTTGCGCTCACAGATCTGCATGAGGTATCAAGCATTACCCCCTAAAACAGGGTCTTAGACTTACCTGATGATGCAAATGGAATAATTATCGCTTTGCCTATAAATCATGAGCCAAATGTGGTTTGACTTGACAGTTCCACGTTACAGTATACCGGAAGGCTGAGCCTACTAGGTCTACCTGTAAAGAGAGTACCATATATGACTTGTTTCGCTTCTTCGCTTCTTTCCCGTCCTTTTTCGTTGTCATATTCTTCAGCAAAGACAAGAAAGACAAGACCAAGACTGACTAAGAAGTCATTATGTATCTTAAAGTAATTGCTACTTAGGCGTAATTCCGGTCGAAATAGAGCGTGGTGGCTACTCACCACGGCTTGGCATCGGGCTTCGTTACAGACCTGCTATTTACGCTAGAAGCTATAGGGGAGTGTCACTCTCGGGAACGACATGACAGGCCGGGGGAAACACTATGTTGCCAACCACTCTATCCTCGATGCCCACTTCCATTCGCCAGTACGCCCAAATCCAGGTCTAGTAGCTAATATCCATCATCCCCAAACGAGTTGCCCTTGATTCTTGTTTCTCTATCCTTCTTCCCCTTCGCGTTCGTCTCCAAACTCGCCCTCGTCCCCTTTGACCAGGGACTCCACGATCCGGTATATCTCTGCCTTTCCTGTGTTGTCGGAAGGTGACATGGCATCAAAGCGAGCCCAGAATGCCGAATGCAGACTCGGCGGGATGTGGTCCGCCTGTTCCTCCTCGTCGTCCATGTTGAACTCAAAACTAATAAGCTCAACCATGCCGACTTGAGAGATGGCGTCTGCCATCACCTTCCAGGGGCCGCTTCCGCAAACATAACCCCAAGCGTACCACGAGCCGTGGCGTAGAATGCACTCCTTAAAGACGAGCAGCCGGTTTTCAAGGTCGGGGTCAGACGCTGCGTAATCAGCCATAGTTCGGTAGTATCCGGCTTCGAGAGCATTCAGCAAGTAGAAGACCATGGCGAGATCTTCAATCGGCAGATTCTTGATGTATTCGAACTGCAAAGGCCTAGCTCCGAAATTGGTGGTTGGGTCTTGAAGCCGAAAACCAAGGGGCAGATTGGATGCATTAAAATGTTTGGCTTTGAGCCGGTCGTAGCTCTGTTGCATTACTGTAACATCAAGAATCAGTAAACCTTACTTTAGGAAAGGGGCCCAGCAGGTTTAGGCATGTCTCGGGAGCAAGAATTCCCCAGCCATCTTGGTGAGGAATTTCTAGCTCCCATGACAAGTCCAAAAGGGGAAGAGAAAGAACTCCGGTGTTACTCACTGGGTCGGCAGGGTTGATTCGCCGCCATGTCGGCGATGCGGTCGCAGTGCCTCATCGCACGCTTTAGGAGTCCATACAGGCGCTTCTGTTGCGTCACATTCAAAGGCCCGATGCGCATGGGGTTCATAAGGTCTATGTAACCAGAGTTGCTAAGAATATCTTCGATGCGGGCCTCACGCATCTCCATCTCAGCGACCATCTCGAAGGTACCGCGCTGTATGCAGCGTCGCGCGAAGACCTCCGAGGAGAGGATGTTGCCAACAGGCGACATGAACTTCGCGGCTTGGCCCATGGAGATGGAGAATTCGTAATGACGAATTAGATCATGAATTTGCTGTATTGGGAATCCAGTTAGTCCAATACTACTAGCGTGGAGTGAAGTTCAACATGGTCGCAGGAGTCTTACCTCGCTTGTCTCCATTAGGTTGAACATAGACTTAGTGTCCAGTTGCTCAGCAAGCGCCAGGATAATGTTATCGGGGAGTGGGAGCCCTTCCATCTTGCTACCGTCGTTAGACATGTTAGAATAACGTGTGGGAAAAGCGAAAGTTATCGGGTGAGAGGAAGATGGAAGATGGAAGATGTTATGGCTAAGTGTCCCTGTAAAAGTAGTTGTGTCGATACGGCGGAAATAAGGCCAGCAGTGTTGGGGCTGATAAACCAAATAATAGCGGTACCGGGACTATTACTATTGTCGAACGGTGATTTGGAGATAGTATGTTTATCTTTTTACGTAGGATGTGTGTAAAAAGTGAGATGGTATGAGTTGAGAGGTGAAATGAGTAAATTCGATCTTATGAACGTCGTAGTGTGCACCTTGATGGCGGAGTGCCGTCACAATTGGGGATCTCTCATACTAACACTAACGCACGAGCCATCAAGGTGAATTGCAATTGTTCGATTGTGGCCGTGATTGTATTAATGCCTTAG